GAGTATGCTTCCCCAATAGTGCTAGTTAAAAAGAAAACAGGTGATATTAGATTGTGTATAGATTTTAGAGAATTAAATAAAATAACCATAAGAGATAGATTTCCTTTACCGTTAATTGACGACTTATTAGATAAACTTAAGGATAAAGCATATTTTTCAAAATTGGACTTAAAAAACGCATTTTATCATGTTAAAATGTCCGAAGAATCTGTTAAATACACAAGTTTCGTAACACCTTTTGGTCAATTTGAATATTTGAAAATGCCTTTTGGTTTTTGCAATTCACCTTCAATGTTTTCCCGATATATTTATTTAATATTTAAAAATTTAATCAACGAAGATAAAGTAATTATTTATTTGGATGATATCTTAATAGCCACACAAGATGTTGACAGACATTTAGAAATTTTGAATGATGTACTTTGTTTATTGAACAGAAATTTGTTAGAACTTCGATTGGACAAATGTAGTTTTTTAAATACAAGCGTTAACTATTTGGGCTATTATATAGATGGGGATGGGATAAGACCTAGTAAGGAAAATGTACAAGCGTTACTGGATTATTCAGTTCCCAGGACTTCCAAAGAAGTGCAGAGATTTATCGGTTTAGCTAGTTACTTTCGGCGTTTCATCAAAGATTTTTAGATTATTGCTCGACCTTTATATAATTTAATTCGTAGGGATGCAAAATTTAATTTTTCTGAAGTTGAACTTCAAGCTTATAATATTTTAAAATCTAAGTTGGCATGTCATCCAATTTTATCTATATATTCCCCTCATTTTGAAACAGAACTGCATTGTGATGCAAGCTCTAGTGGATTTGGCGCTATTTTATTGCAGAAACAAGCAGACAATAAGTTAAAACCAATATTTTACTTCAGCAAAAAAGCAACCAGGGACGAAAGCAAGTATCATAGTTATGAATTGGAATGTTTAGCAGTTGTATATGCCATAAAAAGGTTTCATGTATATTTGGCAGGGATTAAATTTAAAATTTATACAGACTGTGAAAGCTTTAAATTAACATTATCAAAACAACAAATTAATCCACGAATTTATCGATGGGCAATTTTTCTGGAAAATTACAATTACGAAATCATGCATAGATCCGGTGACAAAATGCAACACGTTGATGCGTTGAGTCGTTGCCATAGTGTCCTAATATTAGAATCCAATACTTTTCAACAAAATTTATCTTTAAAGCAAACAGCTGATAAAGAAATAAATAAAATTCGCGAAAATTTAGAATCGATAGATAGTCCCGACTTTGAAATGCGTGAAGGTTTAGTTTATAAGAAATTTAACAATAATTTATTATTTTATGTCCCTGAATCAATGGAAAATGTAATTATAAAATCGTGTCATGATGATATAGGTCACGTAGGATTAGACAAAGTATATGAATATGTAACAAAAGTTTATTGGTTCCCTAAATTAAAACAAAAAATTAAAAATTATATTGTTAACTGTCTTAAATGCATAGAATTTTCACCCCCTAGCGGTAGGGCGGAAGGATTTCTACATAGTATACCTAAAAGTAATATTCCATTCTTAACAGTACACATAGATCATTACGGACCTTTACCTACATGTAATTCCGGTCACAAATATTTATTAACAGTTATAGATGCGTTTACTAAATTTGTTAGATTCTATCCGTGTAAATCTACAAAATCGGATGAAGTAATTAAACATTTAAAATCATATTTTCAATCATATAGTAAGCCGCGTAAATTGATTTCTGACAGAGGTACGTGTTTTACTTCTAATAATTTTACAAATTTTCTGTCTGAAGAAATGATAGAACTTGTGTGGACCGCACCAAGAGCAAATGGACAAGCAGAGAGAGTGCATCGCATGCTAACTCCAATGATATCTAAACTTACTGTTGAATAGAGATGCTCAGTATCGATATGATACGAGACGTATCGATACTTTTTTTTAAGTATCGCCGATACGATACGGCGATACTTGATTGGACGATATTTATCGGTATCGATATTTTTCCAGTCGATACCTCAGGTATCGTCGACATCGGATTTTTTTTTTTTTTTTTTACTTTTCGTCACTAGCAGTGGCAGCATTGCGCACAATTGCGCAGCATTGCGGCTTGATTCGCATTGGGCGTATCGCAAATAACTAAATTGTCTCCGAAATATTATTTCGGAAATAAACCCTTATCTCTGTCATTCTCGCTTTCTCTATAGCTTTCTCGAACTGTATATAGTCGCCGCATAAACACTGGACAGCTGACAGCAAAAAGTTTGTTTGCAAATTCGTGTCGCAACTGTGATAATTACTCCGTGCTATTGAGAGAAGGAAACTTGCATTCTCTTAAGGTTTGTACTGCAAAATACACATTTTCCGCGAATTAGCATCGGTATCAGTATGCAGTTTTTTTAATTCATATCTCGTTCCATTCAATGTTATGAATGGATATGCGTTTTTTTGTAGGTTAGGTATTGATTGTTTACATGTAGTTTTTGATTTTTTTAGGCATTTCACAATAAATTTGTTTCTGTAAAATTTACATTAACATCGAAAATTAGTACAAAAAGCAGGTCTATTCAAGCAAAATATCCTCTGTGTTCGATTTGTGTTGCGTTTTGATGTTGGAAAAATATTGACCCATAAACGAAAAGTCTGTACAATTTAAAATTTGTCTCTTTTGCCTGGCAATACCTTGAAGTGTGATCGACAACAGTCATAACAATAAAAAGAATATTATTTCTATGCAGGATGTCTCAAACGCAGCCAATGCAGGATGCCTCAAAAACAACAAAGAAGGCCAGAGACTATTTTTCGATTACTGGGAAGGATGCCAAATGTACAATTTGCACAAAAATAGTCAAATACAGCGGAAACACTTCAAACTTTTGGAAACATTTGGAAAGGTACCATGGCATTCGTAAAGAGGCGAACAAAGGAGTTACTTCCAAATTGAACAAAGATGCGAATTCCAGCGATGCAAATAACACTGTGCAACATTTTTGAGGTCATGGAATGTAAACACCGTTTTGAGTGGCGTTCTTCAAAGTACTTTATAACAGTAGGAAAACCCCAGTTGGGTTTTGCTAGTTTGTTTCCAATAAGGATTTTATTGCATTTTGAAAATTTTGACTCAGGCTTGTGTATGTTGTAGGATATATTGGCCTATTGATAACCGATTTTAATATATATTTTTTTAATTTGTAGGGTTTTTGTTAGGGATGATCCCATAAAAATTATATGAAAAAATACCACCCCTAAGGGTGAAAAATTGGCGAATAAACTACAAATAGGTCTGTTTTGAAGCTATGATACGAGATATCTTCGCCAACTGTGAACTGTTTTTTTTTAATTCTTTTAATAATGTGTAGGGTATATAAATTTATTGAAAAAAATTCCACCCCTAAGTATGAAAAAAAATGGAAATTAATTTTTATATTGGCATTTCATCAACCCGTTTTGAAAATTGTTTCTTGGATTAAAAACATATACCAAGGGTTGTCCCATTCTCACTAAGACAAGATGACATGGTGTTGTGGTTTTGGAAGCTGAATGTAGGAAGAGTTTTGTTTTTAAATTAATTTTAAATCAAATAAAATATTTATTCTTATAAAAAATGTGAAAAAAATATTCAAAAATGTGTTACATTATAATCTAACTAGGTATAATTAATCAATATCCATTGCCATTGACGCTTCTAAAGATCTCGAGCATCCGGGAAGATTCAGCGGCATATTTTTTTTAGCGTCTCCATATTCAGTCTCCTTAGGATCTTCAGTGCTTTCATTTTGGAATATTTTTTGACTCCACCAATTGGTGTTAACATACTTCCGCAAGCAATGCATCCAGCTTTTTTCCCCTGTATCTTTTTTCCATTGGCATGGTTACCTGATGGAAGCGCTCTCCTTGTTCATCCGATTCAGTGGGCAATTGTTGTAAAAATTCATCTAGGTGAAAATGAAGGAAATGCAATTTTAATGTCATGGATACATTAATTTTTTGAAAATAATAGAGCATTTGGCCCACCAATTTCTTCACTTCGTCTCGCTGCACACGATTCTTCCCTAAAACGCCCTCGATTACAGCTTTTAGTGCATCCCAAGCATTCCGGTGATCGTTCTTAAGGATTTTTGTGAACCTATCGTTTGCAGTTAACTTTCTGATATCTGGTCCATTAAGCACACCTGTTAAAATTTTTATTCACAATTAGAATCAAGCGAAGTTGATATAGTTGGGCCGATAGGAAATGGCCGATACGTCATCACGGTATTATTCAAGTTCAGACGAATGACATTTAAAGAATTTAACCTCAATACGACAAGATGAAAAACAAATGCATCATGTCATCTTGAGAATGAGACAACCCATGGAATATACCTTTTAAACCAAGAAACAATTTTCAAAACGGGAAGTTGATGAAATGCCAATATAAAAATTAATTTCCATTTTTTTTCATACTTAGGGGTGGATTTTTTCAATAAATTTATATACCCTACACATTATTAAAAGAATTAAAAAAAACAGTTCACAGTTGGCGAAGATATCTCGTATCATAGCTTCAAAACAGACCTATTTGTAGTTTAATCGCCAATTTTTCACCCTTAGGGGTGGTATTTTTTTATATAATTTTTATGGGATCATCCCTAACAAAAACCCTACAAATTAAAAAAATATATATTCAAATCGGTTATCAATAGGCCAATATATCCTACAACATACACAAGCCTGAGTCAAAATTTTCAAAATGCAATAAAATCCTTATTGGAAACAAACTAGCAAAACCCAACTGGGGTTTTGCTACTGTTATAAAGTACTTTGAAGAACACCACTTAAAACGGTGTTTACATTTTTAGTGTTGCACTGTGTAATGTAAGAGAGTTAAATTATTCATAATAAAATAAAATATAACAAAATTAAACATTAAATAAAAATAAAACATTAATAATAGATAGAAAATAGAAAATAGAAATAAATAAACATTAAACATTGAATAAAAATATTACAAAAACTTCAACACTATGCGACATATTTTTTCAGAGAATAATAAATATAATTTATTTGCGTTAAGAGGTATCTCTGGATTTTATATCAAATATGATAATTCTTGCATATCATTCCAGAACTCTGAACCTGACGCACATCCATCGTCAAAATCCTGTAGTCTTTTAAGTGGCCAAGATTTTCAACCGAGTCTCGAAACATTTTTCGCTCGAGGAAAATCATATGAAGGTAAACAACGGTATTTTTATAAATTTTGTATATGTAATTCCAGTTTTCTTCATAAATTTATAGCAAAAATATTGCTATAAAAAAAATTGCTTTTGTAACATAAAAAATTATTTTACAGCTGGTGGTCAACGAGCAGCTAGTTTAGAAGAAGCCCTCGTTTATATGGTGTGTGTGGACAACATGCCACTGTCCACACCTGACAAGAAAGGTTTTCAGAACTTTTGCAAAAAGGCTGTACCACTGTGGAAACCCCCAGGCAGGCAAACTTTGACAAGGCGCATCGAAGACAAATACACTGTCATATCGGACAAGGTACGAAAAATTTTCGCAGAGCTTCCCGCGATTTGCCTCACAATGGATGCGTGGACAGAAAGTCACACCACATCCAGTTACCTGGGGATGACGGCCCACTATCTGCAAGGCGAGTCGATGCAGTCAGTGGTTTTGGGAGTGGAACTTTTGACTGAGCGGCACACTACTCAGTTTTTGACCCAAAAATCGCTGGAGTTTTCCGAAAGTTGGGGGATTGACGAAAGAAAAGTCTCCGCCATTGTGACTGATAACGCTCCCAATATCGTTGCAGCTGCGAAAGAGGCTTACGGGAGTAATAAACATTTGGGTTGTTTCGCTCATATTCTGAATTTGATACCTTCAGCTGCTCTTGGTACAAAAAAAGTAGATAACGAGGCGATCGAAAATGTTCCGGGGGTACCAGAACTTATAGCGAAAGTGAAAAAAATCGTGAGATTTTCACACGATAGTTACAATTTTGGAAACGCTATAAAGCGAATTCAAATGGAGACAGGCAAAACCGAGGGGCAAGTCCTTCGACTTCTCCAGAGCGTTCCGACACGTTGGGGGTCGACGTTCAAGATGTGCGACAGGTTTTTGCTACTTCAAGGAGTTATTGCAGCAGCAGCAGTTGAATTTTCGGAAGTCGAAATGCAAAGCGGATCGGAATTAAAGACTCTGGGTGCAATTCGGGATATCCTACAGCCCGTCCACCTTGCAACGACTGAAATATCGGAGGAGACAAATCCAACGGCGAGTAAAGTTATTCCGCTGATTGCTTCGATTTTCCGAGTAAGTTGTCATCGCGATTTGTGAGTTTTATTTGCGCTAAGTAGACATTTTCACACGAAGTTTACATGCGCCTACGAATGCAACTTGATGTTAAATTTACGTTCCTAGCAAAGTGGGTGTTACCGGTTGGTTATCACTTTTCGATCGCCAAGCGGTAACCAAGTGGTAACCAAGCGGTAACCAAGCGATTTTTGACCGAAATATCGGTTTTTTGAGCGAATTGGTCAATTTCGCGAGCACGGCACATCGCGTGGATAATTAAAATGGCTTTTTTCGAATTTTGTTAATCGAATTTCGTTAAATTCGAAATTGTTGATTGTTCACTTTAAAATTCGAAATATGCCATTTTAATTATCCACGCGATGTGCCGTGCTCGCGGAATCGACCAATTCGCTCAAAAAACCGAATTTTCGGTCAAAAATCGCTTGGTTACCGCTTGGTTACCACTTGGTTACCGCTTGGCGATCGAAAAGTGATAACCAACCGGTAACACCCACTTTGCTAGGGACGTGAGCATTCAGTAAACGTGTATATAATCGAGTTCTTATTAACTTAATGTGAATATCATGTATAAATACTCTACATAATGCGTTCCTTTTTTTTAGGCAGTAGAAGCAGTTGAACTCCCTCACAATAATGAAATGGCGCGAAAATTCAAAACATTTTTGCTCCAAGAGCTCAAAAGACGTTGTGGAAATATAGAGGACAATATGGTCATGGCAATGGCAACACTTGTGGACCCTCGATTTGCGAAAAAACGTTTTCGGAGCGCTCTGTCAGCGTCCAGGGCGATCACATTCCTAGAGACAGAAATCATCAGAGAAATTAAAAAAGAAAATGCCGAAGTTCTGGAGCAAGAAGAATCCTCAGGCATTGACTCTTTTACTGGACCAGCCGCTAAAAAAGCGAAAAATGTCCTTTGGGAGTACCATGATGATGACGTCGAAAGCAGCAGAGCCAACATGTTGGAGGACTTAAAAAATGCGGCACGGGCAGAAATCAAGGCCTACACAGATAGAAAGCTATCACCAAGAAACGCAAACCCATTTGAGGAATGGACGAAGATTGCACATCTGTATCCTCATATCTATAAGTTGGCCCGAGTTTACCTGCCCATTTTGGCCACATCGGTCCCTTCCGAAAGACTTTTCTCTCTCGCAGGGCTAATCGTGGATGATCGAGGGTCTCGCCTCTCATCTGAGCACTTGCAGCAAAGGATCTTCCTAGCAAGTATTGACGACAAATTTTGGAACTGAATTTTTTTCATGCTGAATTTTATAAGACTGAGCAAGTGCAATGACACGCAGTATTTTTACTTATTACTCACTTATTACGCAGTATTATTACTTGTTCCTACTATAACTTGTGATCTCTTCTTCGTTTGTGAATAAATAAACGTCTACTGCTAAAGGCACGCCTTTGATTATTGATCTTATCAACATCACAATTATGAATATTTCGTTACAGGCCGCACTCGATTAAACATGTTCAAAAGAAAAACTTGAAAAATAGAGAAAAAATTAGAAACTTACAATTAAATTGTATTAAAACTGTCAATTCCCCAAGCATTGCAAGTTTTTGTCACTTCAAACGGTTTGATACAATTGCAAATCGATTTAAAATTCGAAAAATCATGGATTTTCGTGACATTGAAAAAATTTTTCAAAAGTATCGATATTATCGATATTCCGATACTTTGAGGCACGATATATCGATACTCGGTATCGGAACGACCCGATACGTATCGATACCAAAATATCGATACTTAGGCCGACGATACACATCTCTACTGTTGAACCTAAAAAATGGATAGATGTTATACCTGAAATAGAGTTCTCATTTAATAATACAGTTTGTCGCAGTACAGGTACTACACCAAGTCAATTACTTTTTGGCATAAACCAAACTGGTGAAATTAAAGATTATATCAGATTATTTTTTAATTCTGAAGAAAATCGAGATTTAAACGCTATTAGGGAAGAGGCTAGTATAAAAATAAATAAAACACAACAATATAATGAACAATATTTTAATAAAAAGCGCAAGAAAGTTACAATATATTCAGTAGGCGATTATATAGTAGTAAAAAATATTGATACCACTCCTGGAGTAAACAAGAAATTAATACCAAAATTTCGAGGTCCCTACGTCATTAATAAAATTTTAGATAATGATCGTTTTGTGGTTTCTGACGTAGATGGTTTTCAAATAACTCGATTACCGTATAATAGTATTGTTGCCGCGGACCAAATTAAGCAATGGTCTAAAATAGAATCATAATTATATTATTTATTCTTTTTATTTTGAAATAATTTATATTTGTCTGATATTATTTATGTTTTAAGAGAATTTATGTAAATTTTATGTGTATGTTAAGTAAAACATTTAAGGAAAATTAGAATTATATTTTATGTGTATATTTTAGGAAAATTATATTTTATGAAAGTTTATGTTAGATTTTATGAAACTTTATGTTAGATTTTATGAAGGTTTATGTTATATTTTATGCAAACTTAAATTTTATGAAAAAAAAAAACTTACCTTATGTATTATGCTGAATACCCTTAGTCGAGGTCGACTAAGTGTCAGGTTGGCCGAACTGTAGTCATTTATTGTCTACAATGAAGTTGTAGAGGTTAGAATGTACCTAACGTCAAGTTAGAGGGGTTGGCAACACTGAAAGTAGCTAAGATCAGATCAGTTATGTAAAGAAAGCGTGTTTAAGTGATTATTATAATAAATGGTTTTAAATCTGATTGCATCGTAATTATCTCCATACCCAAAAGCTAATCAACTACAGTATCTACAGTGCTTGCAAATCCAAGTCCGACCACACTGGAAAGGACGGCTGTTCAATACCCGCGTGAAAAGAACAAGGATAGAACGCCAAATAGAATTTGATTGGCCAGCCGGCAGGCTACGACAACGCATACCCATCGCGCACCTCGCAGCGTGCTTGACACGAGACGAGACGTTAAATAACGCAAAGTATTCCATTACCAACGCATGCGCATTTAATTACTATTTTTCATATTCCCAAAATACCTACATAGATGGAGTTATAATTAAATGAAAAAAATGGGTCACGCAGTATGGGTACGTTCCCTTATCTATTAATTTATTTTTATTTTGTAAGTTACATTTATTTTTTTCTTTTAATATATTTAATTGTGGTATACCTAAACTCAGGCTTTTCATTTCAATATCCAAAGATACCTATTTCTAGGCCACAAAACTTCGAGGAAAGCTAACTAAATTTCGACAAACTAACTAAATTTATATACATTAACTAAATTAATATATTTTTAAATACTTATGCACATAATTATTTATTTATACTATAGTAAATTTTTGGGGTTGTTTTAAATAGTAGAAAAAAATCGTTTTAAAAAGAAATTTAATACTTTGATTTTTACACAAAAATTATTTACAATTAACAGTAATAATAAATAATAAGGTAAAAAAATAATATAATAATGAACCAGGTAATAACTGGGCAATATCGAACACAAACTAAAAATAAGCGTGATCGTGATTGGGATAATAAGAAATGAACTCTCCTCTGCCTTTCAGATCATCTTGAATAATTTTTAATTCTGTTGAAGTTGCTTTTTTTGTTTTTTCTCTGTTTTTCCTTTTGTTCTGCGTGGAATGAAAACGTTGTTGCTTTTCAATATTTGCATTGGCTGAAACTTGCTTTGTTGCATCTGGCGATTTAAATTCAGACTTTGTTTCAGTTAAATCTAGTAGGGCTTCAACATTTTTTAAATTTGACAATATTTGAGAAAAACATTCCTCATTGAGACTTGTTACATCTTTAATATGTACCTTAGTTTGCAAACCAGAAAGTTTACTCTCAATTGTTTCTTTTATTGTTTCAGGACATACTGAGGTTGCAGTTAAAGCAGACATACAAATAGCTACATTATCTTCCTCAGATACTTCATTTTTTTCAGTAATGATTTCATGATCAATGCTACAATCCATGTGGTTCATCACAAAGTAATGGATATGTTTGCATATAGTTGATTTAACAAAGTAATCCGTGCACGTACAGGAAAATTCATGAAAGCAAATTTTGCAGAAGTTACAAGTCATATTGCAGCAATTACCAGACAGTTGTTTTTCTACATAATATTCTTGATCCTTTGAGCAGACCTTCCATTTGTTATTTTCGAACTTAATATCAAAACAGCTGGCCAATGCTGTTCTGTGTCTGGCAATAATTTCTTTTGTATGAACTGTATATTTTCCCTTAGTATGTTTGATAAGCCTATCCACTATTTTGTCTCGTGTATATTTTAAGACGGCATGCAATCCCTTGTCCAATCGTTTCACCTTTTTCTTATTTAAATAGAGATATTTAATTACTTTGTGCATACTTTCCAATCTCATATTTGTATTTATTCCACACCCTTTACGATGGCACATGGCCCATTGTTTAAAATTATTACAATAATTCTCCTTAAAATATAATCCAAAATTTCTAGTGTCTGCATCATCCAATAATTTGTTTAAAGTTGTCTCAAGTTGATTTTTAAATGTGTCAGGGTCCAAATTACTTTGCAAAACTTTAAGTGTTTTATACACCCATTCTCGCTTATCTTTTATATTGATTTTTGAAAGATTTTTCTGCCAAGCACGGTCAATGTGCCAGGCGCAAAATAATTGGTTTGAGACAGGCCCCATAACAAGCATCCAAGCGTTATAGAACACGGTAGTAATATCAGACATAAACGTCCTAGCTTGTATGATGCCTACTCTACTTTTAATACTTTCAAAAAATACTGTATGAACGTAAGTATCCTTTCTGTTAGTAAATAAATAAGCAACTGGAAACCCTTCTCCAAACTCATCAACAACTAAAACTGTTGTCATTTCAAAGTCATATTGATTCAGTCCATGTGTGGAATCTACTGCTATTATATTACTTCCATGTTCAGTTAGCATGTGTTCTTGATAACTATTCATTAAAATTAAGCAAAAGTCATTAACAGCAAAGCCTTCAGACACATCTCCTTGCTTCTTATAGACTAATACTGGATTGTCTTCTGTTTCATTACACTGAAATTCTTTGACACACAAATCTATGCTAGTTGCATCGTCCACATGTTTAACTCCATTTACTATTTCAAGTTTAAAACTTCTTGTAATATTTTTAATATCTTGAAGAGTCAATAGGTCAGCTCGTTTAACTTCATGGCCTATTTTATTTCTGTTCATATCCAGGACTCTGCAAAAAATCAAGTTAAATGGCAAATGACAATTGAAAAAAAAATTATAATTACTTAATTTTTGATGCCCCATTTATAATTTTTGAAGCAATTGCTTTTCGGTTCCCAGTTGAAAGGCGGAGATGTTCAATTTGTACTTTATGCCCATAATGAGTTTTCTGCCTCGTAACCTCTATGTTGGCATTTCCATTATTTTGCACAGTTATTTGACTGATGCAAGCCTGACCTGATTTACAAGATCCTTGCGACTTGGTAAGACGTTTTGCGTCAATTTTATTTCTTGGAGTTTTTTCTAAAATCATAGGACAACAAGTTAGAAATTGCAGGGTGGAATTTTTTTCATAAATTAAGGATTCTAATTAAAAGGTACCTAATGTGTTTAAACTGGTAAAAGCTTTGCTATAGCTAAATGTAAACTTTAATGATTAGGCATTATTAAAGTACCTGATCTTACTCCTGATCTATTACAAATATAATATGATATTTCTGCACCTGAGCTGGTCACTCTTTTCCCTCGGGATATAATATAGTTACATTTTTCTTTTACCTCTACTTCTTCCTTCCATGCACTAAATTCTACAACCAATTTTTACAAGTAAGAAAAGGATGAGGATTGAAAAGTAGTGACTACGTGCTATTAACTATGACTATATAGTAGGGCTCACCTTTAAAATCCTTGAAAAACAGTTGTTCTCTTTGTATATCGATTTGGTGTTGATTTTGCAAATGGTAAACTAAATCTGTATTTTGCCGAAAAGAACAATTACAATGTATTTCCAGGCACTTGTAATTATAAACCGTTTTGTCATAGGACACCACTATAGGCATTGCATGATGAACTTTTTTAGAATGCTTATTTAAATTATACTGCGTGCTAAACACTTTTTCACAAGTGCGACACATAACTGGCATGGTGTCTTTTCTTTCAAAAACATTCAATTGACACTCAAGACGATTGCCATAAGTATTTGTTTCAAAGACAAATACTCGAACTTCGCAATAAATAACAAACGCAATAAATGACACATTACACATGATACATGACATGTGTTTCAAAATACCCCCACCTGATAGAGGAGAGACAGAACAGAATATAGGATATACGACGCATGCGCATATACTGGAATACTTTGCGTTATTTAACGTCTCGTGACACGAGGAATCAGAAGTTCTGATTCAGAACGAGAACTGCAGTGGTGCCTGCAAGAGCCTCTTGCCAAGAGGCTAGTAATTTTAGTAAAAAAGATTATTTAATTAAAAAATGTAGGTACACGTTGGAACAAAAAGTTCAGATTTTAATCTGGCATTTTGCTGGTAATTCTGAACGAGAAATTCAAAGATTATTTGCGGGAATGTTCGAGGCCAGACCAAACAGAGAAACAATTCGACGAACCGTTAATAATTGCTTGTTCGAACATTTAATTTAATTTTTCAGTTTATTTATTTTTAGAGTTTTATTAGACCAGGGTCGATAATTTTTGAAACCAAAAAAAATAACAGTAGGATGAAACCCATTGGAAAAGGAGAAGAATATAATAAAAATAAAAGGAAAAATAAATTACGGGCGATCTGACTTTGGGAAGTGGGAGGGGGGGTTTTAAGGGTAAAAAATGGTTTATCTCGATTTCCGGCAAAACTACAAGTCCTATGGAAAAAAGTTAAATGGCAAAGTTGTAGGTAATAAAAGGATCTACAACTTTTGTATTTACAATTTTTTCACATAACCTCAAAATTTATGTGAAAAAATCAAAAAACCAGGTTTTTGGTTTTTTATTTTTATCTTTTTCAAAAAAAATTTTTTTCCATGAAATTTGGTGAAAACTTACATTTTTATGTCCCAAATACACTGTAATTTATTTGATTTGAAATATTTATTATTTCGCCTTATTTTGACTTAATATCAAAAAAGCACCCTAATTTTCAATCGAAAATTCTCGCGTCAAAATATCAGCTTTTTTCAAAAAGTCGGTGTGCTTTTTGTTCGATGAACTCTCTACTTTTTGATGGTGTAAAAAAAATATACATTACTATGGTTAATGTTCTCAGAAAATACAAAAAATATTATAATAAATAACGTAATCAGAATGAAGTATCTAAATTCAATAGTATGATTTACATGTATTTTTATATTTTATGAGATTTTCTGACATAAATGTTATTAGAATTTAATAAATAAACTTTTTAACTAAAAAAAATTGCAACAATCACATTTTTTTTATGAAATTGTACATAATGATTAAAATAAATTTTCGAATTCGAGTTTTTTTTCGTTATTCATTATAATATTTTTTGCATTTTCTGAGAACATTTACCATAGTAATGTATATTTTTTTACACCATCAGAAAGTAGAGATTTCAACAAACAAAAAGCACACCGACTTTTTGAAAAAAGCTGATATTTTGACGCGAGAATTTTCGATTGAAAATTAGGGAGCTTTTTTGATATTAAGTCAAAATAAGGCGAAATAATAAATATTTCAAATCAAATAAATTACAGTGTATTTGGGACATAAAAAGGTAAGTTTTCACCAAATTTCGTGGAAAATTTTTTTTTTTTTGAAAAAGATAAAAATAAAAAACCAAAAACTTGGTTTTTTGAATTTTTCCCATAAATTTTGAGGTTATGTAAAAAAATTGTAATTACAAAAGTTGTAGATCCTTTTATTACCTACAACTTTGCCATTTAACTTTTTTCCATAGGACTTGTAGTTTTGCCGGAAATCGAGATAAACCATTTTTTACCCTTAAAACCCCCCCCTCCCACTTCCCAAAGTCAGATCGCCCGTAATTTATTTTTCCTTTTATTTTTATTATATTCTTCTCCTTTTCCAATGGGTTTCATCCTACTGTTATTTTTTTTGGTTTCAAAAATTATCGACCCTGGTCTAATAAAACTCTAAAAATAAATAAACTGAAAAATTAAATTAAATGTTCGAACAAGCAATTATTAACGGTTCGTCGAATTGTTTCTCTGTTTGGTCTGGCCTCGAACATTCCCGCAAATAATCTTTGAATTTCTCGTTCAGAATTACCAGCAAAATGCCAGATTAAAATCTGAACTTTTTGTTCCAACGTGTAGCTACATTTTTTAATTAAATAATCTCACTGCAGTTCTCGTTCTGATATCCTCGTGTCAAGCACGCTACGAGGTGCGCGATGGGTATGCGTTGTCGTAGCCTGCCGGCTGGCCAATCAAATTCTTTTCAAATGGCGTTCTATCCTTGTTCTTTTCACGCGGGTATTGAACATCCGTCCTTTCCAGTGTGGTCGGACTTGGATTTGCAAGCACTGTATATGCAATAGGTACCAGATGGTTGTATCTGTGCGCAGTAGTTACCATATGAATGTATTGATGCGCAGTAGTTCCCGGATATGCTTAGTAGTTGTATCTATGTGCAATAGGTACCAGATGGTTGTATCTGTGCGAAGTAGTTGCCATATGAATGTATTGATGCGCACAAGGTACCAGATGACCATACCCATGTGCTGTAGTTCCCGGATGATCTTACCCATGCGCAGTAAGTACCAGTGGTTTCAATTTGGTTAAATATATGCTCAGTAGTTACTAGATGATTGTATCTATTGGCAATGGGTATTTATGTGCAGTAGGAACCAGATTACTATTACTGTTACAGTCGATAACCTTAAGCTTACTTTCGAGAAATATTTGCTCTTGTATAATAAAATGTAAAACCAATATAATACTTTATATACGTATTATTTTACCAGCCGATGTTACAAAAACAACTATGTATCAAAACGTAAATAGTTATTTACCTAACTAGTGCTTCTTTTCCGCACGCGACCACCGTTGAAGGAACAACGCGTAGCGGAGTTCGGTCACAGTCGAGTGCGGAAAAAAACACTTTCCGCGCGTGTTAAGTATAATATTTTTTACAAGCGTGCAGAAAATTCTTACATTCCGCACGCATAACCGTGCACTTTTTAATCTAGAATTACTCACATTCCTTAAAGTTGTTACAGAATGTTCATTTTATCACAGTTTTCGGGATGAGCATAATTTGGACCAATCGGGTATTTGCAAACTAAAGCCCGTTTCATATAGATGCGAATTGCGAAATGCGAATATTCGCATTTGCAAGTCCTATTTCATATAGATGCGAATTTTTGTAACTATTTTAGGGACAATATTTTCTCACTTAAAAATATATAATAAATTGTATTAATAAATTTATTTAGTTTAAACTACTGGGTATAAACTTTTATTCCATTTTTACTGTCAAGCAGAGACAAGGGATATTCCTTGTCTCTGCTCAGCAGTCTGCTGTTAAGTTTCAAAATTAAAAGACACAAAATTTAAAAAAAATTAAAAAAAAAAATAATGCATTCATTCCAATAATAATAATTATTATTGTAGGCAAGCCAATAAAAAATCGTTGGCCTGGGCCATGGTAGAAATAAGTCTTATTTAAATAAGACTTATTATAGAATTCTACCATGGTTTGGGCAACCCAGAGTGGTAGATAATGGACTGAGCGTTCCCCATTCAGCTGTCAAGTAAATATTTGCAAAACAAGTGCGATAGAGACAAAGCGATAGTAGCTTTGAATTAGAAAAAGGTTTTTTATTCAAAGGATAGTAGTGCCAGTAGTCATCTCTTTCTAGAATTTTGGCTGGCAGATGTCCAATCAACATTTTATGAAAAGTGTGAATCGCACCTTATCCATAAATTTGTATTTGACATAAGAAGTGCGGCGTTGCCACATAAATTTCGATCTCGTGAGTTTAAGATGTCATAGAGATTTGATGTCATAGGATTTCGATTTGAAAAATTTCGATCTCTCGAGTAGTACTCGAGAGTACGGTATTGGCACCGCTATCGCTATGTTTCTCTCAAGAGTGTAGTTTTGTGAGTCGAATACGCAGTCCATGTGGAGAGATATCTCTCTTAAGCCTGGATTATAGATTGCCTTCCTACCTTTCTCCCCACTGACCGTTAACCTTTAAGAATACACAAGCCGTTGTTGTTGATTATAGATTGACGCAAGAGACGTAAAGCCTGATTTATATATTGCCTTCCTTAGTCCTCCCGTAGTGCCGCCCGTACGATTTGTACGTCTTGTAAAAAGGTATTTTATATATTCTCGTATAGCATTCCGTGAACATGCGCGATAATACCTAAAATGGTTGACACTTGTTTTTGTTTATATTCTGCGTTTTACCCACTCTGTGTATTTCATAATATTATTAGGGATTCTGTCGTTTGTTACTAGTGTTTAAATATGGAAAACAAACATTTATATGCAAATGCAGTGGTCACAATTTTACTTGCGGCTTATAGGAAAAAAAACATAGAACAAGACGTTGGAAGATTCGCCCAATTTACCAAGACCGGGAAACTACGGAGTATTAATTAATACTACACAATAATAACAGCATTAGAACAGCTTAGCTAAAATTATAACTGATAACTTGCCAAACTGCCATTTTTAATAAACATATGTATATATGTATATGTATATTAAATATACCTATAGTTAGGTATATCCTAAATAGCGACACAATTGTGATAGGTGTTCAGTTTATTAAGTAATTTAAATTACTTAATAAACTGAACACCTATCTTATATAATACTATAGTTTATAATATCAGTTGTATAAATATTTACAAATTACTTAATAAACTGAACACCTATCTTAATATTTAATATTACTATAGTAACTATTTATATAGTAAACTGTTTATAAATAATCATTTGTATTAAATATTTGGTACCTTCGCGCATGTCTATAGTACTGTGATTGGTTCGACATGAAACCTTTACGGTAAAAGATAAAATATGAAAATTTCTACGGGTGGATGGAATGCCAATATATAACTGTTGTATATGGGAATGCCGTCCTAAGGGTACGGGACATGGAGCCTACACAAGGAGCCCGAACTTCATGTAAACAAGAATCTTCCTAAGATAAGAGGGCGCTGGTGTAGTACCGTACCAAAACAGTAGAGGGGTATAACCAGAGATGGCGCCACTACCTACCACTTATTATTGTGCAAATAATTGAGGTTATGCAACTGTCAGTTT